CACGTCAGATTTTAATATTTCCGAAAGGTGCATCGGAATAGCAAAAAGTTGCCTTCCAAAAGCTAAACACAGCATTAAGAGACAGGAAAAACTTAGAAACAAAGAAAAGAGTACTGCACAGTTATGTAATATCTATATGACAGTAAATGCTGGACAATCACTTCAAAGATGAAGAAGTGACTTAAAGCAACAGAAATCTGGTTCTACAGAAGGTTGTTGAGGATAGGATGAACATATGAGGAAGGACGGAGTGTTAGAGAAAATAGAAACTTATATTTAACATCAGGAAGAGACAGCTGATATTTCCAGGGTATATGAGGAAAGAGGCTTGGAAAATCTGATACTCACAGGACGGATTAAAGGCAAGTGGGACAGAGGAAAACAATGCCAGTTTGAGTGAATGGAAGATGAAACAAGGTGTCGTAACCTACAGAGGGTTACTGAATGAGGAATAACCAAAACAGAGATTGGAAATCAAATGGTACTTTTTATAACATCAACAAAATACAATTCTCGCCGGCAGCGTGAAGTAGGTAAACCACTGCTAGTAGCGGAGTACTTAGCATAATACCCCCACTTTCAATAGTATCAGACTTATTCATGAGGATGGGGACATACCCATTTTTGTTCATAGGTACGGTATATATATATATATATATATATATATATATATATATATATATATATATATATATATATAGTTGTTACCAAAAAACTTGGTAATCCGTATGGGTAGTCCAATGTAAATCCAGAGCTAATATTTTCAAGAAAAAAACAGACCACTTTATTGTTCCATTATAATAATTTATTTCACCAGAGCCCTTTTAAAGGACGCCGGATCATGAGATAGCACTTCCAAAAGATGAAACGAAACGAAATGAAAATTCATACTTTTTATGGGTGTAAGTTTTTGTAATTTAACAGAGGGGGTAATGAGGGAGGGTTTGAGAGACATGGTCGAGTATATATATATATATATATATATATATATATATATGTGTGTGTGTGTGTGTGTGTGTGTGTGAGTGTGTGTGTGTGAGTGTGTGTGTGATGAAAATATAGTTTTAAGGTATGCTATATTTATGGATAAAAGGGCTCAATTTCAGAGATAGTGCGAATGTAAATATAATAGTGGACAATGACGTAGACACCAAGCGGACAATGTCTGTTTCATGCCTGAACACAATCTTAAGAAGCACGAAACAGACTGTCGCCGCTTGGTGCTGACCTCCTCATTATCCATTTTCACACACACACACACACACACACACACACACACACATATATATATATATATATATATATATATATATATATATATATATATAGCTCTATCTCTGATATTGAGCGCTTTCTAATAAGTATATATATATAATATATAAATAATTATATATATATATATTTATTTATATTTATATACACTTTTCACACACACACACACACACACATATATATATATATATATATATATATATATATATATATGGGCAGCATTCCTCTTTTCTAAAAGTTTCATCCACATGTAAAAAAGGCTTATATAACACAAGGTTTAGGAGGAATGAAAAAAAGACAAAATTTATTAAGAGTTTACAGAGGACTGGAAAATGTGGAGAGCCATGATCGCCTAAATCCTGAGGGGACACAGCATCTAAAGAAGAAGAATGCACCTCTGTCCTCTGTTGAATCACTTCCTTGATAGTTAAATTTTCGTGATTTAGATATCTCTAACTTATAGTTAGAAACTTGGATCTTTTCTTTTGTTGACAACCATACATTCTTTCATCTTACAATTAGTGTTTAGTCCTCTCTTCTGGTTACTCTTTACTACCATCACGGATTCCCTGCACTTTACTTTCTGTTCTCAAGACTGTAATCTGCAGAGCTGATATTGTTAAGACTGTCTTAGTTGGAATAGAGATGTTGACAGCCTTAGACAAGTGCTAAGACTGTTAGTTCATTTATTTAACGGCATGTTAACATAGAATAAAAATATTTTATTCTGCTTTCACAATTGAATACATGGTAGATGATACTCAGATTTGCGCATATACATGTTTGTGTGGACATAATTACTAGAGGCGCTGATATGTGTGTATTATGTTGTAGTTTTGTTGAAATTATATTTTGGAATACAATTTGATTTCCTTGAGAAATTGTAGGATATTATATGGATTAATGTCATAAGAGTTCTTTCATGTTGGTTGGTTGGTTGATTTTGTTTTGCAGCATATCAACCTGCATGGGTTATTTAATCCTGAAATCTAAATATTTTTGAACATAGCTTTATGGCTTCAACTATAAATAAAATTTATTGTTGGTAATTTTTTACTCTAAAATTTATTGATGGTAATTTTACTATAATTATGAATCGTTAGTAATTTTTATATATATATAAAAACGTATTGCAAGTATTTTTTATATATAAATATATTTTTATACTTTCATGGTGTGGGGGCTTCATTATTTTTCCATAGCTGGGATCCTAACAGGTGCTATCATCCCAGGTTAGGGTGGATCTGAGAACAACAGCAATTCTACATTCCTCAAAACCTTCAATCTCCTGATCAGTGTATTTGCTGCTGGATGTCGTAGTTTTATTAAAGTTATATTTTGGAATACAATTTGATTTACGAAATTGTTCTTTCATATTGGTTGTTTGATTGGTTTTGTTTAACGTTATATCAACACCTCTATGGATTGTCTAATGTTGAAATCTAAATAATTTGAACATGGCTTCAACTAAATTCATTTTGAACACAATTGCATGCCTTCAACTACAGATGTGTTGCTGGTCATGTATTGTCAACCATTTTTTATATAAAATTGTATTGCTGTTTTTTTTTTTACTATTAAAATGTTTATACTTTCATGGTGTTTTTGTTTTGGGGGGGGGCACTATTTTTCCGTAGCTGGGACCTTTACAGGTGCTACCACCTCCGGTAAGGGTGGACCAGGTAACAAAAACAAGAGTTGGTTTCGGGCTCCTGAAATCCTTCAATATCCCAATCAGAGGTCTTGCTGCCAGATGTAGTTTATCATCATACCTGGGACTGTTAAGACTGCCCGTGAAGAATAATTGCAAGGCGAAATAAGGATGTTAAAGGGTTAAACGTTAATTAGAGCAGCAGAATAATTTTTTTTTTTTTTTTGAGTTCTAATATCTTTTGCTCAATTCGAATTTATCTTAAGCACTCTTTCAAATTTCTTGGTGGTGATCTATGGGCATCCATTATTACAAAAATGACTTCAGCCGTCGTGTTCTATAGATTCTTCAGCTCTCGAGCCTGATCCTGACATTTTTCAATCCTTCATTTCCTTGGCGGTTCACTCTTATATCAAAGTGGAATAGTAAAAACAACAATTTCAAAATTGCTACTCCTTATCTGTAACAATGTAGTCAGGTTGTCGTGTTTCAAGTTGTGTAGAGCTATATTGGACCACGTCCTGAATGTATACAATGCATTAAAGAAGAGAATATCTTTTTTTTTCTTGCTTATTTTATAGATATTTAACACGGCACCAGTGGGCAAAAGCCCTCCTAGACGCAGGTCGCCAGCCAGGGCAGAGAATTCATCAGATGAATTACAACGCCCACGAGTTCGCGACCCATTTCAAGGACATCGGCTGTAGTCTAACTTGGAGAGAGATGGGCTCCGTCAGGCTAAAATGTCCAAGACACACACATGGTGATAGCATCAAGAATGGTGGTCAGTTCAGCATATCGGCGCCCCAACGACTTCTACCGGGGTTAAGGGCGAAAGAAGAAGAAGAAGAAGAAGAAGAAGAAGAAGAAGAAGAAGAAGATGAGGAGGAGGAGAAGGAGGAGGAAGAAGAAAAAGAAGAAGAGGAGGAGGAAAGGAGGGAAGAGGAAGAAGAAGAAAAAAGAAGACGAGGAGGAAGGAGCAGGAGGGGTAGAGGGGGAGGATGGAAGAGAAGAAGAAAGAGGAGCAGAAATAGGAAAAAGGAAGAAGAAGAAGAAGAAGAAGAAGAAGAAGAAGAAGAAGAAGAAGAAGAAAAGGAAGAAGAGGAGGAGAAGGAGTGGAGAAAGAAGAAGGGGGAGGAAGGGGAGTAGGATGAGGAAGGAGAAGAAGAAAGAGGATGATGAGGAAGAAGAGGAAAAGGAAGAGGAGAAGAAAGGAGGAGGAGGAAGAAGAAGAAGAAGAAGAAGAAGAAGAAGAAGAAGAAGAAGAAGAAGAAGAAGAAGAAGAATAGGGGTTAGGAAGAAGAAGAAGAAAAAGAAGAGGAAGCAGAAGGAGAAGAAGAAGAAGAATTTTACAGATTAATTTTTATGTTACACTGACCTGAAACTACGGAAATTTAATAATGACCTATTTATTTCAAAGAAGCTTTTTCTTTGCTTTCCGTATTTATCAGGTGTATTTCTTCAGCTTTTTCTTGTCATTGACCCCAGATGGTTTAATATATTCTTGCCTTTTGAATCTCGTTAAACCTTCTTTCCAGTCACTTTTCTCTTCGGTTTTCTTGCTACTGGATTCTTCTGAACTTTTCCTTGCTGACAAAAATGATTTCGTTTCGTTCTTTCAACCTTGTATCTCGTTCGCTTCGTTCGGCCTTTCTATCTTCCTTACTCTTCTGAGGCACCATCTTCCTTTTCCTTCTCACCCTTCTGAATAGGCTTCCAACTGAACAGAGCTTCTCCTTCCAATGTCACCGACATAAGTCGCTACTACCACCATTACGATTATCATCATCGTCATCATCATCATCATCATCGTCATCATCATCATCAACGTCGTCATCATCAGCATCTATTTTTTTTTTCCTTTTCCTATCGACTGGCTGAAAACTAGGTTTCTGTTAAATTCTTTTTCACTACCATCAGGAAGATTAACAGCGCAAGTATATGATTAATGCCATCATGATTACGATGATCATGATCATGATTATCTTGCAGTTTGTTCTATTGGTATTCGGAAGGTATAATTCCTTCCTCTCTTGAAAAAACATCCATAATTTTTATTAACATCGCCACGACCACC